TATAGATATAAATAAGTGGTTAAAGAAGGTTCTCTGATAGCATAATCTTAGAAGCAAAATAGAACTAAAAGAGAAGGGGCAATATAACCTACTGCTAACTCAGTTATTATGGATGGAACATTTTTGGAAGGACGATGTAGGAGGACGTCACCAATTTTCGTATGTGTAGTGTTTATTTTATGTATTTTTTTATGTTTCTATGGCTAACTTTTTGGAAGCATATGGAAGAATGGGGCAAGAAAGGAGAGGGTAGAAACAGAAACATTAATGATGACTAATATACCAATGCTTGAGAAGCAGCAGTTGCGGAAAACATATAAGGCTGGTATTGTCTGAAATTAAAAAAAATAATAATGATAAATCCTGAATTTCCCATCCAGTGATTCACTAAGTATTGATAGAGATGCATTAAATAACTGTTTCGAAATACAAATGGCAAAAATTAAAAATTAAATCCAGACGGTCTCTCTTACTTTTAGGAACTATCTAAATTGAATGTAAAGATCTCACCTATGGAAGAAAAACTTGAATATTCAATTGTACAAAACAACTTAATGGAAGAAAAGATAAAACCTTTGGAACAAAGAATTGATCAACTAGAAATGAAATCAGCAGAATGTGAAGACAGATCATGGAAAAATAACATTAGGATAAGGGGAATCCAGGAAAATATACCACAACAACATTTGGTAGGATACTTGGAAGAATTCCTGAAATTTTTAGGCATACAGGTTGTAGGATACAAATATCCATTTTACTATCTATCCTAACTGTTCATATAAGGGTTAATTTGAACTTGGAATGACTGTCCCTTTTTTTATCTTCGATGCTCGGAAGAAAAATTGTTATTATTATTCCAGTTACGGGAAGGCCTTACTACATGCCCAATGTTCTTGTTAATTGTCCAAGATTTTGGTATTTGTAAACATCTGGTTTTTATCAAACATATGTGTGTTGTATAACATAGGATATTAGAAACAGCTGCTTATAACTTGTGAAAAACAATTTACGTAATTAACACGCCCATATACTCATCCTTACCCCCTCCCGTTGTGCTATGAAAAAGTATGTATAAATATAACTGTCATTAAATTAGTTGAATTGGTTTGGAAAACAACGTCTCTGTCTTCTTAACTGGTTCCTGGAATTCCATATGAGGGAGGGGGTCGGCCAACCAGCATCCATCAACCAGAGGGTCTTTCTTTGTATAGCTGATACATCCCAAACACAGGTGGATAATATCCCATATATTTTTGAGAATGTCCACAGGTTAACAAAACCTAATGGGTTATCGGCTCACATACCAAGAGAAGTAATTACAAATCTACACTCCTCCTTTAACCCCTTAAGGACCAAACTTCTGGAATAAAGGGGAATCATGACATGTCACACATGTCATGTGTCCTTAAGGTGTTAAAGCTAAACTCAATAGAGCATTGAAAGTGAAATCGTTGAAGGGCTCTAAAGTTGAAGATTTTTAAAATATACAACGACATATCTCTTGCTACAAGAAATGCTAGAAAGAAATATATGATTTATACTACAAAACTAAGAGAAAACAACATAAGATACACATGGACATTTCCAGTTGGCCTTAGAATTTATCACAAAGAAAAAATTGAACTCTTTAAGGAACCGAATAGCTTGCAACAGTGGCTTTTATCTAATGATCTCATATAAGGGAAGATGGAGGGAAGGATGAGAGAAAAATTGAGAGCTGATCTTTTTTTTTTCTTCCTTTTGTTTTTTTCCCCCCTCCCTTCTGTGCTGCACTGTACACAAGAGAGAAACATGTTGAAATAAGAGCTCGTCCTATGATAGTGTTGGAGCCTATAAAGTTAAAAGGTTTTTTATTAAAATGTAAATGGAGAAGAAGAGAAAGAGGAGGAGGAAACAATGAGAAGGGAGAATTCTATATGATTTGTGGGGTTTACTATCAGTAGTGTAATGGTCAAATGCATTTAGAATTAAATGTATTTCTTAAACTGTGTACTTTGTCTATAAGAGATATTGCAAACTGACAAGGTGTTAGAAATGGAACATATTGTTTTTCATTCAATGTTTCTTTAATAACTGACCTCTTACCCATATTCAGTGAATAAGATGTTCAGACTTTAGAAAGTCATCTTGTCCCAAGTTAATGGAAGTTCCCCAAATCTGGGAATTTCCCATGACTGTGCACTTACGTTTTAGTTATGGCCTTGTATCTTTGCCAAGTTAAGGGAGGTCCTAAAATGAATAAAGTAAAAGAAGTGTTAATTTTTCATATATGAGCTACGGTAACCCTAAAATGGAGACTAAGGTATAAATATGTGTACTTTTAAATGTTAGGACACAGAGGAGAGACTTGGAGGCAGACGCTGCTCCATCTTAAAATGACAGAGAGGCTGACATGATGACATGTTCAGAAGGGTATGTTAACCTATTAATGATATTTGCAAGCATGTAATTTAATCTTATAAACTCTGCTATAATGGATTTTATATTTTTATATAATAAATATCCAAAAAGACAAAACGATTGCTTCCAAGACAATATTTATTTTATATTGTATTCTCAATTATTTATATATGTTAAATAAAGGATCTCATACTAACTATATAAAATTATGGCTAAGATATCTGTATTTCTAGCCCTGCTAAGTTCTAGGATCTGGTAGACTTAGAGTTGTGGATAAAAGGCATTTTGCACAGTCTGTTGCTCTTCATAATTCATTTTCTGCACTTTCAGAGTGTAATGGTGTTGTGGAGAGAGGCACTGAGGCTAGTGGTGTTGTGGAGAGAGGCACTGAGACTAGTGGTGTTGTGGAGACCGGCTTGGAGACTATGGTGAGGCCTAATAGAAAGCAGTTGTTGTTGGGGGATTTCATTATAAGAGGTGTGGAGATGGACAATGGTGGTCTTGTGAGGTGTCTTCCCGGAGCTACTGCTCACAGAGACAGGAGACGTATCTGTAATATTGTTAAGCAAGCAAAGCAGGAAGGGGAATTGGATGTACTTGTCCATCTAGGGACAAATGACTTGGCTTGCAATGAGGTTTCAGAGGTTAAGGAAGTTTTTAGTGTTTTTGCCAATGATATACGGCAGGTTGCTTCCACACTGTCATTCTCTGAAGTTCTGCCTGTGCATAACACTCAGAACGACAGGCGGATGCGTATTAGGGACTTTAATTTGTGGCTTGGTGAATGGTGTCGGGAGCAAGGATTTGGCTTTATTTCTCATGGTAGCTCTGTTTGGAATGGAGATAAGCTGTACAAAAAAGATGGTTTGCATCTTTCTCAAAAGGGAACAAATGTTCTCAGTGAGCAGTTCAGAGGTTTTGCTAGGATGTATTTAAACTAGGAGGGGGGGCAAAAGGGTGATAAAACATCAATCCAATTGTCCCCCAAAACAAGGACAGAAGGTGCCTGTAGCAAGTGTGTTAAAAAATGATAAGCTTAGAGTCATGTCTACAAATGCTCGCAGTTTAGGGAATAAGATCCATGAACTTGTGACAATAATGGCAACTGATAGTGTAGATTTAGTCGCTGTTACTGAGACATGGTACAATGAGAAAAATGACTGGGACATAGCAATACCAGGGTACTCTTTATATAGGAAAGATAGGGAAGGCAAGAAAGGGGAGGGGTGGCCTTGTATGTGAAGGATAGCATAAAATCTAGCCTAATAAAAGTTAGTGAGGCAAACATAGAGTCCGTTTGGGCTACGTTAGAATTTGGTAATCACACAGTAACTTGTGTAGGTGTGATTTATAGGCCCCCAGGACAAATTGAAGAGTTAGATAATCTACTAGTTGAGGAAATAGTTAAAATGACAATGAAGGGGGAAGTTATCATCATGGGTGACTTTAATCTTCCTGATGTAAATTGGAAAACAAAATTAGCTATGTGTGCCAGGAGCACACATATTCTAAACTCCCTACTGGGATTGTCTCCAAAACAAGTTGTTGAGGAGCCAACTCGTAAAGATGCCATACTAGATTTAGTGTTAACAAATGGAGATTTGGTATCAGATATTACTGTAGGTGAAAGTTTAGGATCCAGTGATCATCAGTCAGTGTGGTTTAATATAAGAACAGTGACTGAGTCACACCACACAAAAACAAAAGTTTTAGACTTTAGAAAAACAGACTTTTCTAAAATTATAATATGGGTAGAGGAGTCATTATCAGACTGGAGCAATTTAAATGGAGTCCAAGAGAAATGGGATTATTTAAAAGTTACACTATTGAAGGCAACAGAAAATTGCATTAGGCTTGTCAGTAAAAGCAAAAAATTCAAGAAACCACTGTGGTACTCCGCAGATGTGGCCAAAATAGTTAAAAACAAAAAGTTAGCATTTAGGAATTATAAAAAAACCCAGAGTGAGGAAGACAAAATGATCTATAAGATTAGGCAGAAAGAGGCTAAGCAAGTTATAAGAGCTTCCAAATCACACACAGAAGAGAAAATAGCACAGTCAGTAAAAAAGGGGATAAAACATTTTTTAGATACATAAATGAGAAAAGAAAAGTAAAACAAGGATTAGTTAGATTAAAAACAAAAGAAGGAAGGTATGTAGAAGAGGATAAAGGTCTAGCTGACTGCCTCAATGAATATTTTTGTTCTGTATTTACAGATGAAAATGAAGGAAAGGGACCTCAGTTGAGAAAAAGGATAAATGAGTCATTTATTACACGTGAGTTTACAGAGGAAGAGGTTCTATTTCAACTGTCAAAAGTAAAGACAAATAAGTCAATGGGACCTGATGGAATACACCCAAAGCTATTAAAAGAGCTTAGTGGTGTACTAGCAAAACCATTAACAGATTTATTTAACCAATCATTGTTAACAGGAGTAGTCCCAGAAGATTGGAAGTTAGCGAATGTTGTGCCCATTTACAAGAAAGGTAATAGGGAGGAGTCGGGCAACTATAGGCCAGTAAGCCAGTAAACTTCAGTAGTGGGGAAAGTGATGGAAACCATGTTAAAGGATAGGATTGATGAACATCTAAAAACACATGTGAAAGGTAAATCTGCTAATCTGGTGACTCGGTCCCTCTGGTCACTATTCTCCAACCCTCGATTGTCAGCTGAATATTCAGGGAAGATTTTTATGGAAGCGTATTAACCAGACACACACTTTTTGCTCTCCATAATCTTCTGATCGTTTATTCAAGATTCGCTATATTTATACTATACTTGTCACGAATATTGATTACAAAAGGTTACAAAAAGGTTACAAAAAGGTTACACAAGATACATAAAAGAGGAAGTAGTTTCTGCTGTTACATTCAATAATCTAATCTTACAAAATATCACATATACATTGTGGTTAGGCATTTCCTGATACATAGAAACTGTCATAGCTTGTGACTTCCTTTCAATTATGTTTTGCAAGCAGTTCTGAAATACTGACAGATTAATTGTTTAACCCCTTAAGGACCAGATTTCTGGAATAAAAGGGAATCATGACATGTCATGTGTCCTTAAGGGGTCAATATTCCTTCATTTCCCCCTCTTTGAGCAATATCTTGCTCATACCCTATTTAAGGAGTCCTGGTCAGACAACCAGCCATCTGCCATGGTATATTCAGGATTGCTAGCCAATCCTGCAGGTCTTTCATTATGTCTTCGGCCACTATTCCCATAGCATAGGACTAGGCATCTGACCAGCACCACAAACTTATAGATCTGTATCAGTATGTTCACCATTGCTTCGGTTATGTGTATACATTTGGAGATAATCATCATTTCAAGCTGGGGATTTTACAGGAACAGTGTTGCGTGTATGTTTGTAAATGCAGAATACAATAATCTTGAAAATAGCATAAACAAGTAGAGCAAGGATCAGAACCATAACAATAAGTATTGCAATATTCTTTAGCCAGTCTAGGATACTGTCAAACTTAAACATATCTGCCCATGGGTGATCAATACCTGAATTCCTCTTCATTTCTATGGACAGGTCTTCTAATTTCTTTATAGCTAGGGTTACTTTACCATTAGGGCCAGTGTTCTCTGGAATATAGGTACAACAAACACCGGAGTCAAGTAATTTACAGACTCCTCCCTTTTCTGCTAAAATCATATCAAGGGCCATTCTACTCTGGAAAGTCATTTGTGAGGTAGCCTGTAATTGTTCAGCAAGACCTTGTAATGCATCTTGTGTATAATTTACAAATCTTTGCTGATTATAATATATATAATTAATCCAGTTAACATTCTTGTTAGCTGTTATAATGGGAAATATTGATTCAAATCCTGCTGCCACCTCGTCTCTAGCTTTAAATTCATTAGGAACCCCTCTTGGAATACCAATGGCATCTAGATAGATATGTGGGTCGAAACTACCTTGTGGGGATTCCCTTTTCCTTCTTGTGGAATAAGTTACAACCTTAATTTCAGGGAGAGAGTCGCCAAATATATGGAGGGGCATGATTATTTTGGCTGGGGCACATTCTCCTCTCCAGGGGGTGGGGAGTCTAGAACGTATTTTTATATCTCCACATAGATTGTGTTTGATTCACTAAGGTAATATTACTGTAGGCGGAGCAGAATCCTGAAGAAAAGTTATCAAATGGTTTACCCACCTTAACATTATTATTTCCCTGAAAACAAGTATAATTACCAGGGTATACTGAGACAACATCATTTAATTTAAACTTGGGTTCACCAATAGGGTGACCCTTTTTCCATTCTTCACATCCTGTAGTATTAACAGTGATACCTGAAAACAAACTTAGGAAACATTCCCAGTACTCATCAGGGACATGTAAGGGTACAGTTCCTAGATGAGGTCTGGCACTACCACATACATAACAGTTTGACCTATTGCTGGAATGGGCATTATATCTCAACCATTCCAGCCATAGGTTTGTATCTGCATACCCTGTTTCTAACGCTGTGGTATCTCCAAACGTGGGATCTGCTATGGCCATCATATCACCAAGGGTTTGAATGTGGGGCTTTAGAGGATTAACAAGAATATAAATACCTTGATCTCCAGGACTGGGGTTTTCAATATTTAAGGTATAACCCCAATCTGTCCTGGTGTTCCATCCAACTGAGCCCCAATAATCACAATTGTTACCCCTCTTTGAGCAATATGTATTGCTCATATCATCGGTTAACATTCTCCCAAGACAGAGAAATTTCCACATTATGGCATTCCCAAGCAATCATGTGGTCTACAAGAAACAGAAACTCAGCAGAAAAAAACAAAAACAAAACAAAAACACTTAATACTTTTGCAGACAGATATATAGAAAATGGATGTTTAAGACAGGATGGAACTTGGGCTTATAGCAACTATATTATAGCACAACCAGGACCTTGCGTCCTATATCTTTTAACCATTTCCCTATTCCAAAAGTCCAGTCAAAATCAGTCATATCCTCACGCAGTTCCTCAAAACATGGGAATCCATCGCTGGCACACTCAACATATATCAAAAACACACATAGTACATCCATCCCTGGGTCAGCTAACACTTCCTCTCTCTCTGGCTAACTCTACAAAAATAAAAATAAAAATAGTTCAATAGTTCAGCATAGTTCAGAAAAATAGAATAAGTCTTTCACAGAGTATAAAGAAATCAGGTTAGACACCAGACATTTTGTTCCATAAAAATGGCTAAGGGTAGCAATATGGCTGACAACAAGACAATGTCAGCTTCCATATAGTTCTTAGTTCTTCTTTTGTTTGCTGGATTTTCACCACAAAGCTCTGTGCAACACCCCAATGGTTGAAAGGGTTATTACAGAACCAGCGGTATTAGACAGCACTGCACCTTCAGGACTTTCCAGTTTCTGCGTGCAAAGTTCATGTCCTCGTAAATAAGTATCTCAGTTTCTTCGGCCTGCATGGATAATGACCAAACAGATGTAATTGCAAAATACTTATTGCATGGTCAGCCAGAGAGATTGGTGTGTAGTCCCAGAAATCAGGCGGCACATATACTCCAGGACGGTCTCTATTAGAACTCCTTTATGAGGGAGAGACATCTTGTCCATTCAATCCTTTTTATCAGTAAAAGAATGACTTTCAGGATTAATCAGTTTGCAAATGGAAATGTGGAGCCACGATTTGAACAGCAGAAGTTTGCAGGGCCCCTTTCACGTGGGATGTAACAAGCGCTTTTCGTGCTCCATGAGCGATAGCATACAATTGTTTCATTCTAGCCGGCTGGACAGCATTTCACCTTTTGTAAAAACACTAAATGCTTGTGTTAATGATATGCAAATCACTCTGCTAGTTAAACTCCTACACAATGGACAATAAAATACATAAAACACATAACACACCAATTCATTTCAAACCATATAACTCATACTCAGCATTCAATGTAATATTACATGTCATCTCACAAAACAGACATCTCACAAAACAGACGTAGTAGATACACGTATCGGGTACCCAGCAGATATGCCAATACAGAAAACACATTCATGAGCACACAACTACACACTCTGTGTCCCTCCTAGGAAACACAGGTAGACACAATATGAAAGCAGTCTTAAACTAATACCTCCAAATCTCCATTCCCATATAGCTATATCAGAACACAATCAGAAAACAACACAGCAACATATAAATTAAACCACTTTCCAGTTAAGCTGCACACTTCACACATTATCACAGTCACCATTTACACAGAATAAACA